GTGCCCTTAGAAATTAGAATTGCTACGTAGTGTTGAGAAATTCTTGCATAGGATCTTGGAAATGGCTTCTTCCATTCTTTTCTTCGGATTCCTTGCCTTTTCCTTCAGCTATGTCCTAGCATCGGATCCAAGCTCCCTTCAAGATTTCTGTGTGGCAGATGAAAACAGTAATGGTACGTACAAGCTCACTCCAAGCATTTGAAGGCCATGGAAATCATCCCAATGGCCAGTCTTTGATCTTCACATCGAAAATTAATTAAACTTTAGATTAACTTCTGGTTATTTATTAAGATTCGTTTGTTTTATGGCAGTGATAGTGAATGGTTTGGCTTGCAAGGATCCCAAAGAGGTTAAAGCTGATGACTTCTCCTTCAGTGGACTTCACTTGGCAGGCAACACTTCAAATGCTGTAGGGTCTAGGGCAACCACAGTTAACGTAGCCCAGATACCAGGGCTTAACACACTCGGAATCTCTCTTGTTCGCATCGACTACGCACCACGGGGCATTAACCCTCCTCACACACACCCTCGTGGATCCGAAATCTTGACTGTCATTGAAGGCAGTCTTGAGGTTGGGTTTGTGACATCCAGCCCTGAAAACCGTCTCTTCACAAAAGTTCTACGAAAGGGTGATGTGTTTGTATTTCCTATTGGTCTCATTCACTTTCAGAGAAATGTTGGAAATGGCAACGCCGTAGCCATTGCAGCTCTGAGCAGCCAAAATCCAGGCGTCATTACCATTGCCAATGCGATGTTTGGCTCCACTCCAGATATCCCAAGTGACATTCTAGTGAAGGCTTTCCAGTTGGACAAGAATGTTGTCAATTACCTTCAATCCAGGTTCTAAACAATGTTGACAAAAATTCATGGAGGCTTTGGGACATAAGATGTGCTTATCCTGTGAGGGCTTTCATTGTTTGTTAATTTGCTTGTAACACTCCTTTGCTGAGCTTGTATTTCTGTGTGCCCCATTGTGGGGGATTCATTGATTCTTTGGTCTACTAGTTATGTGCTTTTACACCATTGGCACCTCTCTGTTTTGCACAAGATGATGTTCTAGACTAGATTTGTTGTGATTGCTTGTTTGAGACGTTGATACATGGCTTAGTCAGAAAGGGATCAGATTTTATGCATTGTAGTTGCTTTTGGAGTGTTGACATTATTATATGTTTGCAGATATATAGAAGAACATTGTAAAATAATCAGATTGTTTTAGTGAATGGCTAAATGATCATCTACAGAAACATTCTGGGGAAAGAACAGAAAGCTGCAAAAATCCATGAATTCCAATAACATTTTCTACGGGCTCAAGAAAGGAGAAGTGTCTTGAATTCACAAGAGGTTCTATCTGGATATTTCTTATTCAGATTCATCGAACAAACCAGCTTCAGGTGTGCGCAGAAACAAAGCAATAAACAACACAAAATTTATTGCAATACCCAGTTTATACAACCTAGTGAAGTGGAGGGGAAGATTTACAGTAATTCAATGCTAAAAGGGTTAATTTCAACACCTTGGATAGAATAACTGTGCTTAATTATTGTCGTAAACATGTTTGGTTGCAGAGACAATTATCTTCGTTTTTTCTGCTCTGAAACAGTAACTAAACATTAACAGTACGCGAAAGTGCAGATTGAATGTGATTTTCTAATAATCATTGAATTTGGACGAATGAAGTGGGGACATTGTCTGATGTTAAGTTACATTTAAGGTAAAATTGATAAATCAAAAGTTTTAGGACTTGGTGATGGGCTCTGTTGTGTTTCCTCCTTCGTTAAGAATCTTTGATTTGCAGTGAAATGATTGGCGTGTTTCTGGTTGATAATTGTGCTAACAATTCAAGGGGTCGGGTCCTGGAAACAAGGCCAAAGAGTTCTTTATTTAGAAAAATGTAATCACAACTTCAAAGCACAAATCAAATGATTTAAGAATCATAATTTAGAATCAGATATTTTTCTAAGGTGTTTGGAGCTTTCTCATATCTCTCAAGTTCTTCTTCGACAGTGCATCAAACAGGACAGCAACTCATCGAATAATCATACCATGGGAGGCTCTAAAATGGGAACATGGAATTCATCCTAGTTCATCATATTGCCTCCCACTCCTTTCAACTTCTTTTACAACGTGGGATGGCTAATCCCCTTTTTTTTTTTTTTTATAACTTTAAAATATTATTTTAAAACCAGTATCTACATGATAGATTAACCTAAAATCCAATCATTTTTAAGTTTAGATTAGTTTGGATTAAAAAATCACTTAATCTAGTTAAATATTTGAGTTAGCTCGGTGTCCTGATTTATCATGAATTCATCAAAACCCAACTATTAACATAAACTTAATTTTTTATTAATTTTTATTTTTATTAATATAATATTATTCCAATTTTTTCTTTTTTTAAGTAAGTCAAAAATAGTACTTGCTGTTGATAGACTCCGGACTGGATTTTAAATCTATATTTTTAACTTCGAAAAATATTTTTGAAATAATTTGTATTTTAACATGAATTAAATTTATTTTTTTAATAAAAACATACATTTAAATTGATTGAAATTAATAACCATGTAAGTGCGGATCTATTTGGTACTGTATCTTAAAAACATTTTTAAAAAAATTAAATTTTTATTTGTTTTTAATTAATATTTTTTTGATATTTTTAAATCATTCTGATATATTAATTAAAAAATAATTTTAAAAAAATAAAAATACATTATTAATATATTTTTTTTAATAAAAATTATTTTAAAAACTAACTATAACTACACTAACAAAACACTAGGGTTGATAATGTCTAATCAAGCGATAATTTATGTATAGGATTCTTCCTTTCCATTGAAGGCTATCCATCACCCTCACATGCAAAGGAAAACAATATGCACGAGTAGGAGGATTTCCTTTTGCTTTTGCCTGTCTTCTCTTTCCAATGAAGATCACACCCTCAAAAGACAAAGCAGAAAAAGCAAACAAGGAAAGTCCCTTTTCCATGTTCTGGTTCCCTTCATCAATACTCTTGGATCGTCTTTCAAATTATGTTTTATATATGACTTTGGATTATATTATTTGAAAGTTTTGTGTTTAAGTAAATATCTAATTCTTTATTTTAAATATACTTTACAAATTCTGCTTCATCTCCCTAGCATAGATCCAGTTAATTAACTCTATAACCTGTCTGTTTATAGTTTAGCTTGTGTAAAGTTACATTGTAAATAGAGTTTTTTTTAATGAAAATAATATTGTTTTTTTTAATAAATAAATAAATTTGGTTGTTTTGTCAGCTCACAGATAAACTTAATTAACTCATCATTTCAAGATCCCAAACTAGATCTTATAAATATGTTACATAGCATTAAAGTTATTAAATTTGAATTGATCCTCGAGTTATTAAATAAGTTAAATATAGTTATCTTGAATTATTTTAAAAATAATAACATTTCAAGATAAAAAAATAAAATAAAATGATATTATTTTAATTTATATTTTAAAAATAAAATTACGTTTTTATCTTATAAATAGATTACATGAATTATTTTTTTATCAATCCATCTCAAAACAACAACAATGAATTGTTTAGGAATGTCATCTAACTCACATTTATTTTTAAATAATTTTTTTATTTAAAATTAATATTTTTTAATATTTTTTATCGTTTTGATAAGTTGATTTTAAAAGTAATTTTTAAAAAATAAAAAAATATTATTTTAATTTATTTTTAAATAAAAAATACTTTAAAAAATAACAAAATAACAACATTTAAACTCAAGACACATCTCAACACCTTTGATTCTAATCTCAAATTTGATGATTTTATTGATGAAATTTTTACCAATAAATTGTTTAGAAATGTGATTTAACTTGTATTTTTTTAAATTTAATTTTTTATTTTAAATTAATATTTTTTATTATTTTAATATATTAATATAAAAAATAATTTTAAAAAAATAAAATAATATTATTTTAATTTATTTTTAAATAAAAAATATTTTTAAAAATAACCATAAACAATACTTTTCTCCAGACGCTTTATTCTAATTTCAAATGGATGATTTTATAACCTCGAACAAAATAGAGAGAAATCCACTGTGGATCAGCAATTGGTGATCCGTTCATGTGATCCTCTTGATTTGCTTACTTCATAGCAATTCCTGCCCCAAAAGCAAGACAGGTACCATGCCATGGCATATTGGCAGTTAAGGGTGACACATGATACCCAAGTGTCAAAATCTTACTGGTGGTCCAAAAAATATGGGACCCGTTGGTCCCACTTCAACATTATTCCTCCACCCACTTCTCCTCCTGTGTGATGCAATTTATTGGAATTTGTAAAGTGAAGTGACCCTCAGTAGCCTCCAGTCAAAGGGCAGTAAGTGGGGCCCATTTTCCTACTTGGCACTAACCCCAAAAAATTATTTTATTTTATTCTTACAGTACTTCCACGCAGAAAAACAATATTAAACCATGCTTGACAAATCTTTTGAAGTCCACCATGTTAGTGTAAGATTCCATGTCTTTTTGGCGGGTAAAACCCTAGATTGTGCCCTTGAACAATGTTGATGACCCCAAAAAAACCCTAACATTTTCCCGCTTTATTAATTTTTTACTCCCTGACACCAAGGCCCTTAAAAGAAACAAAAAAGCAAGGAAGGGTTTATTTATTTTTTAAAAATCATTCAAAAACCAAGGCAAACAAATTAGGGTTTTTGTTTTAGGGAAAACCCCCCCTTGCCTTAGACAGAGAGGGTTTGGTTGTTTCCTATATTAAAGAAAAAAGTTGGTGTCTTTTTGTTGGACAAAACTGTTTAAGCAAAGCTGAAATGGGCAGTAATTAGAGGGCCTTTAGCCAGAATATTTTATGGGTCCCTTTACATTTATGAGTGCTTACAATTTTGGGTTTTTTTTTTTTTTAATTTATTGTCCCATTTCCTATGGTATATCGTTGTAAAGTTCTGTTCTTTGCAAGAAAGTTGTGTTTTTTCTTTCGTTTTTGCTTTAAAGTTTGAGTTTTTTTTTTTTTTTAATTTATTGTCCCATTTCCTATGGTATATCGTTGTAAAGTTCTGTTCTTTGCAAGAAAGTTGTGTTTTTTCTTTCGTTTTTGCTTTAAAGTTTGAGTCTTTTTAGAGTGGTAGATTCTACTAAGCCTGCATTGTTAATGAAAGTTGAGATCTTGGTGAGAGAATGCTAAAATTCTTGTTCTATTTAGATGAATAGATCTCTTTGAAAAAGGGCCCCAGTTTGTGTTGTTGTAGCTCATTTCAGCCATTAAATGCTTGGGTCGGTCGAAAAAAAAATAATTCTTTATTGAAGCTGAGTTTTTGTCATTGGAAGCAGTAAAGGTCACTTGAAGCTCCATTGTCAGGTAACAGTACTGAGTTGGTGATTTTAGTTAGTGGTACAGTTTGTTGCTGTCTAAAGTGGTCAATCCTCTTGTTTCTTGAAGGAAATGCTTTCCAAGTCTCTTGTTTTTACTATCTAATGGTTGAGACTTGGTTGAAATTGCTGGTTCATTTAGCTTAACAACCTCATTCCCTTACAAGATTGAGCTTGTTTCTTGTTGTCACGAGGCTTGTTTCTTGTAACTTCCAAGCAGCCATTGCTGGGTCTAGTTGTTGAGCTTTATATGGTCTGAAATTTGGTTTTTTAGTTAAATGTTAGAAACCCCCTTGTTAAGTTTTGATAATTGAATATGAAGCTTTTGAAGCTTTTGCTATTATCCCTCCTTTTCCTCTCTGCCATGGGGCAATTGCCTTCACAGGACATATTGGCATTGCTCGAATTCAAGAAGGGTATCAAGCATGACCCCACTGGTTATGTTCTTGAGTCATGGAATGAGGAGTCCATTGATTTTAATGGCTGCCCTTCTTCTTGGAATGGTATTGTCTGCAATGGTGGATATGTGGCTGGTGTTGTTCTTGATAACTTAGGTCTCTCTGCTGATGTAGACCTGAGTGTGTTTGCAAATCTTACATTGCTTGTCAAAGTCTCCATGGCAAACAACTCTATAACTGGCGAGATTCCTGACAATATAGGTGACTTCAAAAGCCTTCAGTTTATGGATGTGTCTAACAATCTATTCTCGACGTCATTACCGCCGGGGATTGGTAAATTAGGGAGCTTGAGGAACCTCTCATTGGCTGGGAACAACTTATCTGGTTCACTTCCTGATTCAATTTCAGGGCTTGCATCAATCCAGTCTTTGGACTTGAGCAGGAACTCCTTCTCTGGATCATTGCCAACGTCATTGACAAGACTGAAGAACCTGGTGTATCTGAATTTGTCTTCCAATGGTTTTGACAAGAGGATTCCAAAGGGGTTTGAGCTGATTTCAAATCTACAGGTGCTTGACCTGCATGGGAATATGTTTGATGGTCATCTAGATGGAATGTTTTTTCTTCTAACAAATGCTAGTCATGTTGATCTCAGTGGGAATATGCTAGTGAGCTCTAGTTCTCAGAAGTTACTTCCGGGTATGTCTGAGAGCATTAAGGTTTTGAATCTTAGCCACAACCAACTTAGTGGGTCACTGCTAAATGGAAGTGACATGCAATTGTTTGCAAGTGTGAAGGTGTTGGATTTGAGCTACAATCAGTTGACAGGAGAATTGCCAGGATTTGATTTTGCTTATGAGCTTCAGGTCCTTAAACTCAGCAACAACAAGTTCTCAGGGTCCATTCCTAATGACCTTTTGAAAGGAGATTCTTTGCTCTTGACTGAACTGGATTTGAGTGCCAATAATCTCTCAGGTAGCTCTGCAATAACTGCTTTAGCTTTTTGTGACTTCCCTAAGCTGTGCTTACTGATTATTATTATTATTATTATTATTATTAGTTGGCTTTGTTCTGTTTAGTGTATTTTTCCGTGCTGCTCACATTGTAGCTTCATCTTTTAGGGCCTATAAGCATGATTATGTCAACAACACTTAGTGTCCTTGATTTGTCATCAAATGCGCTTGTTGGAGAACTTCCTCTGGTGACAGGAAGCTGTGTTGTACTTGATCTATCAAACAACAGATTTGAAGGAAATCTAACCAGAATGGCGAAGTGGGGAAACATTGAGTATCTTGATCTAAGCCAGAATCGTTTGACAGGGCCAATCCCTGAAGTGGCCCCTCAATTTTTGCGTTTAAATTACCTCAACCTCTCTCATAATTCTTTCGCCAGCCCTCTCCCAAAAGTTATTACTCAGTATCCAAAGCTTAGAGTCCTAGATCTTAGTTCTAACCAGCTAGATGGATCTCTGTTGACTGAGTTACTAATGTCTCCTACTCTGCAAGAAATCCACCTTGAAAATAATTTACTCAATGGTGCTATTGAATTTTCTCCCCCTTCCACTACTCAATCCAATCTTCAAGTTATTGATCTTTCTTATAATCAGCTTGACGGCTTTTTCCCTGGTCGATTTGATTCACTAAGTGGTCTTCAAGTTCTCAATCTTGCAGGGAATAATTTATCTGGTTCCCTCCCCAGTTCCATGGCTGACATGAGCTCGCTTAGTTCATTAGATTTATCTCAAAACCATTTCACAGGTCCTCTACCGAACAACTTGTCAGAGAGCATTGGAAGCTTTAATGTTTCATATAATGATCTTTCTGGAGTTGTCCCAGAAAACCTGAGGAGGTTCCCTACTTCTTCTTTCTATCCTGGAAATAATAGATTACGCCTTCCAGCTGTTCCTCCTGGATCAAACAATCTTCCTGGTAGAAATTCTGGGAGGAGACCAATCAACACCATTGTCAAGGTGGTAGTCATAGTCGCAAGTGTGATTGCTCTGATCATTCTCATCATGCTTGCCATCTTCGTACTTTACATTCGTACAAGGAGGATAAATCCACCAAGTCAAGTTACAAATAAAGGTATCCGTAGGCACACTCAAACAAACCCCTCTGGCACAAGCGGAACAGGAAGTGGTGGTGCGTTGATTGTGTCGGCTGAGGATCTTGTGGCATCAAAGAAAGGATCATCATCAGAGATTATCAGCCCTGATGAGAAAATGGCAGCAGTAACTGGCTTCTCACCATCAAAGCATGGCCACTTATCTTGGTCACCAGAGTCTGGGGATTCATACCCTGCTGAGACCCTTGCACGCCTGGATGTAAGGTCACCAGATCGGTTGGTTGGTGAGCTGTACTTTCTTGATGATACAATCACAATGACACCTGAGGAGCTGTCTAGGGCTCCTGCTGAAGTTTTGGGGAGGAGCAGTCATGGGACTTCTTATAGGGCAACTCTGGACAATGGGGTCTTCATTACTGTGAAATGGTTGAGAGAAGGGGTGGCGAAACAGAGAAAGGACTTTTCCAAGGAGGCGAAAAAATTTGCAAACATTAGGCATCCAAATGTGGTGGGTTTGAGAGGATACTACTGGGGGCCTACACAGCATGAAAAGCTCATTCTTTCAGATTACATCTCACCTGGAAGCCTGACAAGCTTTCTTTATGGTAAGATACTGATCTTCTAGCTTTGATCTTTATAATTTAACTGCTATATGTTCCATGATAAGGGAGGAAGGAAGAAAAGAAACACTGATTTGATCACACAGATGAAGGGAGACATAATTGTTTCATCCATGACAATGCCTGCGAGATGTGAAGAACTGGAAGAAAGTCTTGTGATTGTGAAACTTGGAATCGTCATGCCTCACTAATTGGGAAATTTGTCTGCCTGACATTGTTATAGTTCAATTACAACCTGTCTTATGAAAGAACTAAAGTAATCCTGCAATGCAGACTTTATTTCCTGTAAAAAGTTCACATCGACAGAGAAGTATAATCTACTCGCCACTTGCTAGCTATATGTTTCAACACATAGGATCTTCATAATATGTTGGTAATGGTATGGATTTCATATATTGGATAGAATTGCCTTTTGATTTTATAAACCTGACTTTTCAGATCGACCGGGAAAAAAAGGCCCCCCATTAACCTGGGCCCAGAGGCTCAAGATAGCAGTTGATGTTGCACGTGGCCTAAACTATCTCCATTTTGACCGTGCTGTTCCACATGGGAACCTTAAAGCAATAAATGTACTTCTAGACGGGCCTGATCTCAATGCACGTGTTGCTGATTACTGCCTCCATCGACTCATGACTCAAGCTGGCACCATTGAACAAATACTAGATGCTGGGGTCTTGGGTTATCGTGCACCAGAGTTGGCTTCTTCTAAGAAACCACTCCCCTCCTTCAAGTCAGATGTTTATGCCTTTGGAGTGATGATGTTGGAACTTTTAACTGGAAGGTGTGCTGGTGATGTAATTACTGGGGAAGGGGGGAGTGTTAACTTAACAGATTGGGTGCGGTTGAGAGTGACAGAAGGTCGTGGCACGGATTGCTTTGATCCTGCATTGCTGCCAGAAATAGTGAATCCGACAGTTGACAAGGGAATGAAGGAGGTCCTTGGAATAGCCTTACGATGTATAAGGTCTGTCTCAGACAGGCCAGGTATCAAGACCATATATGAAGATCTTTCGTCGATATAGCTTGTAGTCGGTTCCATTTTGATTGTGCTTGAATCTGAGGTTTTAATATCTCATTGGCCTCTCTTTTCGGATCTTTGTTATTCTTTTTGGCATTTCAGTGTTAGCTACTGACATTAACCATCGTTGTATAAAAGGAATGGATAGAAGATTTTCAGTTCTAGGCTATTTCTTGATGATGATCTTTTGGTCAATGTTTGATTGCTTGGCTGTGCATTTATGAATGAGGAATTGCTAGTGGTGCTTTTGATGATACTCTAATCATTCTCCTGCGCTCCAGCAATGTCACATGTTACATTTCCTTGTGAAACAAAATGTTATCTCAAGCTGTTTTGGATTTTTGTTTCCTCAAATGAGAAAATCATGATGTTGGATTCTTTTTTTTTTTTAAATAAATATGTATTCTTATGTATAGCTGATAAAGAACTCCAAAAAGCCAAACAAACCTACAAACCGCATTTAGATACTTTACTCTTCTTCACAAGTTGCACCCTCTCTCTCTGTCTCTCTATTTTTCCTGTCTTATTGTTTTCGAATCTATTCGTGCATGTGTATTATACAGTACGTACAGGTGACTTTTGAGTGTGGCAGATGGTAAAGTATGTATCTTGGATAATTTTGAATTCTGGGTCATTTAAATTTTTGTATTTCTATGTTTTTCTTTCGATTACAGCTCAATTCTTCTCTGTTTCTCATTGATTGCATAAAGTGTGTCTTTTTATTTATGGGGCTGTTTGGTTTCCGAGAAAACTCAAGAGACCAATGAATTTACTTTTCCAATTTCTTAATTCTCATCCTTGTTTCATATTGGTTGCCTAAAGTTGGTGCCTTTATTGTTGTTGTTATTTTTTTTTTTTTATGAAAGTTTGCGTCTTTATGAAATACCACCTGTTTGGTTGCTGGCAAAGGAAAAATAGGGAACTGGGACTTTCCTAATTTTGCATTTTAAGGTACAAGTTTGACTCGTTTTTTATCTCTTACTCATTACATTTTAATAATGTGCTTTTGTATTATTGGTTAGAACCTTTGAGTGTTGCTTATGGAAAATGGAGTGAAGCAATTTTTTTCATTTAAAATTGCTTTATTCATCTCTTTATCTAAAGGTTGATTGCCTATGGTTTGTGTTATTTATTTATTTTTATGAATATAGCTGCTTTTTTTGCTGATTAAAGAAGTAGCAAATTGGGACTTCTAGCATTGTGCATTTCATGATTAAGTTTTATTTTACTTTATTTAATTGTCAATTGGTTTCGTTATTGACAATGATATGCGTGGTTGTGACTTTTATGAGAACTTTTGGAGGTTGCTTATGGAAATTTGAGTGAAGAAGACAATTTTTTCACCTAAGGCTATCATAAACCAAAAGTTTGGTAGCAAGGGATGTTTTAAGGCAGAGGAGGTACAGGAGGAGTCAACTCAGAATGGGTTCCCAGGATCGGCAATTCCTCAGAAAGCTCCTATTTTTCGGTGCCAGCTATAGCTTCCAGAATTTACTGTTGTTTCAGATATATGTAGAAAGAAGAAGGATGCCGAGCAATCTGCAGCAGATTTGGCTTTAAAAAGGGTATGCTTCAGCTTCCTTCTTTATATTATCGTTGGCACTTTTCAAATTTGATTAAACTTGCCAGCAGAGGATGAGTATACAGCCTTGTGATTGAATGATATGCCTTCTCTTCATCATGATTGAATTTTTTATTTTATTTTATTTTATTTTATTGAACATTGTTGCTGATAATGTGCAATGAATGTCATTACCAAATTTGGATGGATATGGAATTGATTATTTATTAGTTATGAAGTTGTGTTGGTTATGTAGTCTGCCTGTATCCGCTCGTGTTGTGTAACTATGTGACGAGATTAATTTGTTCTTTGGGTAATGCATTTGGTTAGAGAGCAGCTATTGTATTTTTACGAGGTTTTTGTTTATTTATTGTCTTTGCTTTGAGATTAATTTATTTATCATGCAGTTTTCAGCTTTGCTTCTGCTAAAGTTTAGTTCATTAATATGAAGACAGATGTATATCTTTCTTTCATCCTCACCCTGTTTTTTTTTTTTTTTTTTTGCAATGCCATTTAATTACTTGACTATTTATTTACTGTTTCTCCTGCAGCTAGCCCACCATTCCGTTGCTGAAAATCCATCTGATAAGGATCCTTGTGATGCTTTGATTGATCAAATCAAATATCTATTTTCAGATGAGGTTGGTAGTTTGTATAGAAATATATTGTGAAACACGTTACAAATAATTGCATTATCTGTGGAGTATTATTTATTTTAAATAAATTATGTATGTTTTTTAAAATTATGATACTTAAAACAAACCACTTAATCTTAAAATCAATTAATTGATAAATTCACATTCCAATAAAGAGCAATGCCCATTAAACATTATGAATGAAAACAATGGCAGTAGGGTAATTTTGCTCAATTTTTTGGTCATTTTTTTATGTGAGCATTCATGATATATTCATTGAAAAAATCGAATCATTAGTCCACCCACCACTTACTAGTGTTATATCTCTTTTCAGACGAGGTTGCTAGTTTGTATAGAAATAAATTGTAAAACAGGTTGTGTTGTACATATAATACTCACATGTCACTTGGTTTTTGCAAGACATATATGTGTACGGATCCTTGAACTGGTTTGTCCATTGTGCTGTTCTCTAACCTCTCCTTTGTTTGTGTCTTTGTTAGTTCCCTCTACCTCTTCATCCATTGAGGGGTCACCTTAGAGCAGCTTTGCTGAGAAGAGGTGATCTTTATGGTCTGGTACGTGCTTCTGTCATTACTGCCTGTGATACAAAGACGAGTAATCTGTGTAAATTACTCAACCTTGAGGTGGAATTAAAACCTTTTTTGGCTTTGTCATTAATTATGAGGACTATACCAAAATTATCAGGCTGTGTTGCATCCAAGGGGCAGCTTTCAATTCAGAAGCAAAATCCATACCCCACTGAAATCATAGAGTCATCAGATATCCAGCAATCTGATTCCCCAGAAAGCATATTGGTTAAAGCAATACAAATTCCAGCTTCACTGGATAAGACTGTTCAGCCAGTGACTCTTAATATTTCATCCGCCGGATATTACCTGGATGTTATTGCAGAAGAACTTGGTGTAACAGATGCCAGCAAGGTTTTGCTCTCAAGGTAGGCGGAAGTGTTTGTAATACAAAAAGCCTGGGATGATGTGTCTTTTCACCTAAAATGGGTTCCTCATTCCTTGCAGACATGACATGATGTGATGTTTTTCTTGTTCTGAAGAAGCATTATATTCTGTTTTTTCCAAATAACATCTTATTTTTTCCTATCAAAACAGGAAAGAGTGACTTGTTTTGGAAATACTTCATACTTTTCTCCATAGGACTATTGGTAAAGCTTCTTCAGAGACCAGATTGTATTTTGCTGCTTCTAAGTCACTTGTGATGGATCTGTTGTCGGACCTTGGAAATGTGAAAGATTTTCATGTGGAAGGACCTCCTAATGCAAGGGCAAGTTACTTCTGTGGTCAAGGAATATACGGTGATGCAATCATGGCTTCCATTGGATACACATGGAGGTCTAAAGAACTTTTCCATGAACACTTGTCCTCCAATCGTATTACAGATCTCTTTTGAACTCTTTCCCATGAATTTCTTGTTTTACCATCACTAGCCTCTCTCTGCAATGACGTTTGATGCAAACTTGATGTACTCTTTCTGTAGGCAACGCTTAATTCATGTTGAATAATGTCAGCAAAGGATAAGCTTTTTGTTTAAATAAATTTCAAGTCATTCTAATATAATGTCATTTTATTGATGCATTTTCATTTGCACATAACATTCCAAGTTATAACTCTTCTTTCTTCTTCTTTTTTTGTTATTTATTTTCTTAATTTATTATGTGAAGTTGAATGCTTTCTTATTTAATCAACTGTTGTATGTTCTAACTACTTAAAATCTAGATCATTTGTCGCTCCTTATTAATTATTGAGGCAATGAATGGCTCCTACTGTTTATCACCAAAGGTTGCATCTCCTATGTGATGCCTGCAGTTCACATTGTTGCATAAGGTTGCATCTCCTATCACCAAAGGTTGAATGCTTTCTTAATTAATCAACTGTTGTATTCATAATTTAACCAATTTAGATGGTTTTATTCAGGATGCTTATAAACAAGATACCTAGTGGAAATTACAAGTTGTCTAGAGAAGCAATACTTGCAGCAGAGTTGCCCTCGGTATTCACTACTGAAGCAAATTGGAGAGGTTCCTTCCCTAGGGAAATCCTATTCGCATTCTGCCATCAGCATCGGCTATCTGAGCCTATCTTCTCAACTACAAGTGTTCCTTTAAAGGCATCATGCAAGTTACTGAGATCACAGAAGAAGTTGAAGGTTACTGAGGTAGCTGGACTTGCGACTGAATATGCAGATGGAGGAGGTTTAAATGCGGGTGATGGAGAATCAGTAGGACTGGAAAGCAACTTTAGATGTGAAGTAAAAGTATTTTCCAAGGGTCGGGATTTGATCATAGAGTGTTCCCCTAAGGACATTTATAGGAAGCAGACTGATGCTACCCACAGTGCTTCTCTGAAAGTTCTCTCATGGTTGGATGCATATTTTAAGGACCTTGGTATGCCTTTGGAGAAGCTAAATTGCTCTGCTGATGCCCTTGACATTAGTTTTTCTCTTGGAAACTTTCATAAAGAGTTTGCTTTATCCCAATCCATTTCCTGCTAGGTTAGAGCTCTTGGAATGGGTTTTAGCATCTAATGTGGTGTTTCTTTGGCTTGAATATCATACAATGGAGGCTGTATTAATCAAGAAGCATGTTTTACCTAACCTTTGATATTTTTTGTTGTTTTAGAACATTTAGAAAGGGGATTCGTGAGTGCTTTTGAACACACAATGCGTTGGATTCCCCATATTTTTTTGGGGTAATTGACATTTTATAGTATATTATTGTGCCAATAGACAACCTTCCTGTGAATGCGGGGAGAGCTCAAATATGCCTTACAAAATTAATGATACAGTGGCGTTTTGAAAAATGGTTAGCCCTGTGTTGCTTCTAGTTGTGCCGTCATTCTTATACTTTCCATGTCAGTAGGCTCTCCATGTCGTTATGCTGTTAGTTTTTGCATAGGTAATTGCACTGCAACAATCTTTTGGCATGATTAGAGATGTTTCTATAAATCAATGAACTGTTTCATTCTCCTGCGATTTTCTTTTTTGCACCTGTATGTTTTTGGAGCTTAAAGGTAATAAAGCATATGGAGGAGAACCAGGCCTGTCGTTTTGGTGATATAGCATTGAGTTATTTTCGTCCAAAGGTTCTTATATTTTCCACCCGAAATTACGAAGACAACTTGATTCTACAAAGATCTAGTCTTGCAACTCAAGAAGAATACCCAGACGAGAAAAGCCAGTTAAAGTCTCATAAATTTCGCAACCATGACCACAAGTTTGAGTGGACAAGAGGGCAGTTCAACCACTGGGCATCTGAACTAGTGAAGAAGCACAATTACAGCGTGGAGTTCAGTGGGGTTGGTGGTTCTGGTGATGTGGAACCAGGTTTTGCTTCTCAGATAGCCGTCTTTAAACAGGAGAGCCTGCTTGATGAAGATGATCTACTGACAAAACAAAATTCATCTCAGCATTGCAAAGTTGTATGGAGTCGGAACTGCACTGACGGATTCGGATCGGTACCCTCTCTAACAAGTAACTAATACCAGGGGTTTTGAAACCACACTGACAGATTCTAGCTTATCAGTACAGCTTTAGTCTGTACTGATAAATTATATGATTTTTAGGAAGCAGAGGGTATCTAACAGAATTAGACAAGTGCAGGCTCAGAATGGATGCGTGTCTTTTGCTCCTAGGCCAATTTGTTTGGTGCATGATTCTTTCTCTTTGAAAGCCCCCATGCCATTTATAAATCTTTTGAAGGGAATTCCAGCCCCATGAATACAAGTTTCTATATGCAAAACACCCCACCTCTCTCTTCAAGATGAGTGACCGTCGGGGACATGCAAAATCATATAATCTATCAGATTCGGTAAACTTTTCGATTACAGGGATTTTCATAGTATCATAACATCAATTACTTTTGAAATTTCGAGGGGTGAATAAAGCCTCGTACATAACATGCATTTGTTCAGAATTGATTTTTTTAGATATTTTCAGGAATTTAAAAGGTTTATAAGTGTAGTTGTGGTTGTTTTTTAAAGTGTTTTTTATTTGAAAATATATCAAAATAATATTTTTTTATTTTTTAAAAATTATTTTTAATATTAGTATATTAAAATGATCTAGAAAAATAAAAAAATATTAATTTAAAGTAAAAATAAAAAAAATATTTTTTTAAAAAAAGATTTTAAAATACAAAAAAAAAAGAAATTTAAAGAATTTAATGATGTAAAAGCAACTTGTATTTTATTACCAAACATATATAATTTAGATAGTTTGGATATAGTTTATCTTAATTTGAAATTTTTTCACTCCCTATTTTGGTTGAATTTCTTGTCATAAAAAAATATCATTCTATTTCTTTTTAATAAGTGAATTAAAGTCATTCAATATTATTACAACAATCCCAAATCTTTATTCACATATTCTAATAAAATCATTGAATAAATTGGTTGTCATGAATTTAGATTTACAAAATAAGTTAATTTAAGCCCTAAACCTCCCATAACACAGAATATTAGTGCCCTAATTCAATCCCCCCACAAAAAATATTCCTTAATTCCAAATTAAAAAAATAAGATTTACTTGTAAAAAAGAAGAAGAGAGAATTAACAATTATGGAAAAAAATTACACCAACACACGTGCCAAGAGGCCAAACGTGCGAGTTCCAACGGCTAGTTATTATAAAACGGCTAGTCTTTTCTTTTTCACCTTTTCACCTTCTCTTTTGCCTCTCAATCATCACACCTCTCTGTGCTTTCTCTTCTCTCTCAATAAAAATTTTCCTTCACTTTCTCTCTAACCAAACGCAAATAAAGCTATCATTCCAGTCACAAGAAACCCAATTCTTTGATTTCTTTTTATGTATATCACTTTCTTGTAAAAATTTAAGAAAAAGGGTCTTAAAGATTAGTACTTTCTCTTGAAAATGTGGTCTAACAACAACAACAACAAGAATTCTCCTTCAAGGGGATTCTGGACACCGCCGGCGTCATGGAGGTCACAACAATCACCGGAGGTGGTAATGATGCCCATGTCAGAGAGGAAAGAAAGGGTGTCTCATCCTAGTTGTAAACGTGATCTTTTTCATGTTGTTCATAAAGTTCCTGCTGGTGATTCTCCTTATGTTAGAGCCAAACATGTTCAGGTACTAATTCTCAATGGCTTTTTTGTTGTCTGGGTTAAGGGGTTTTTGAAATTTTTTTAGACTTGATGGGTTCTCTTGAAGAATAGTAATTATCTGTTTGGTTGAAATTGTGACAGAGGATGATAAACTTAGGATTTTTTTTTGTGCTATGGTATGATTTATTCTTAAACAAAAAATGAAAATGCCAAACTCTTGCATAAGTTGATTCTAGTCTATCTTTCTTTTTTGTGTGAATTCTTTTGTAATTTCTGGTTCGTAATAAAGTTGAATGTTATTGATCTTTGTTTTATGAATTTTTGGGTTTGGTCCGTTTGGATATTACAGGTTAGTATGGGATTTGGTGTTGGTAGTTCAGTGTTTCTTGTAGCAATTTGAAAAACTGTTACCTATTTTCATTGTTTGGAACTCTTATCTGCATGAGAAATCGGTGGATTTCACATGGGAATTGCTGTAGGGAAAAGGAGTGAGAAAAGGAAAAGGGAATTGAGTTAAATAGCTATATGCACGAGACATTGTCACCCGATAAGAGGAATTCAGGTATTAAAGTAGTAAAGAACAATACAATTAGATTATACCACTAGGGGATGTCAGGTCATACATTAGTTTCCTCAGGATTGAAGAAAATGTTGTTTTTTTTTTTTTTTTAACTCTTCTTGTGATTGACTTTCCATTACAGATTTTGACTTTCCATTTTAGGTTCTTCTATGTTTTTAATGTTTAAAGAGGACCCATCAATGACTGATTTTTGGAACTTAATTGAAGAGATTGATTCTCCGGTTTGATTCCAGTGTATGCGTGTGATTTTGATATTTGAATCTTTAATTACAGTTGATAGAGAAGGATCCGAGCAAGGCTGTGTCGCTGTTCTGGGCTGCTATCAATGCTGGGGATAGAGTTGACAGTGCCTTGAAAGATATGGCAGTGGTGATGAAGCAATTGGATCGAGCAGATGAGGCAATTGAGGCTATTAAATCTTTCCGTCATCTCTGCCCTTGTGATTCCCAGGAATCTATTGACAATGTGCTAGTTGAGCTCTACAAGGTGAAGTGATCTTCTTTTTTTTTTTAATCTTTGCAAAATGTAGTGTTTTGGCTAGAATTGACTCTGATGATTTTGTAATGTGATTTGTCCATTTGCATGCTGATATTTCATCAGGAAAATCTATGTGAAGAACCCATCTTACATGTTTTGTGAGCTGTCTTCTTAGTAATGCATCCTTGTAAGGTTTAGTAGTTTTCTTCATTAATGGTGAAGGATCCATCTGTTGCAAAGGTGCTGTTTTAAACAAAAATTAAACATTTTCAGTTCTTGATGTAGTTAAGTTATGAAATTTTCATCTACAAGGGCTTTTTAAGGAGTTCAAATGCTTTATATGGTAGAGATAGTTATTATTTTCATTAGGAGACCTAAAATATATTGTTGACTTAGAAGCATATATTTGCAATGTATGTGGCTGAATAATTTTCGTTTTGTTTTGAGGAATCTGGTTAGCAGATCCATTTAGCCAACCCCATCAAGTTTGGGATTAAGGCTTGTTTTGGGTTGAGTAATAGTTTGGAGGAAATCTGATGACATCTTTGGTCTGCACCTGACTGAGGCTGATGTAATGATTCCTGTTCCTTTTGTGTAGCTATATTGAGTTGTGATGCATGCTTGTATCTTTTGCAGAGATCTGGAAGGATTGAAGAAGAGATTGAAATGCTTCAATGCAAACTGAAGCTCATTGAAGAGGGTATTGCTTTTTCTGGCAAGAAGACAAAGACAGCAAGATCTCATGGAAGGAAGATTCAAATAACAGTTGAGCAGGAAAGATCAAGGTGATACACCTGCTCTACTTTGTTTCCTACTTTTACCGTACATCTCTGGATATCATTTCATTTTCTACATTAAATGATGCAGAATACTAGGGAACCTGGCCTGGGCTTACTTGCAGCATCACGATTATGGTTTGGCTGAACAACATTATAGGTAAACTATATTTCTACGCTGAAAGATATACCTAGACATGAAAATGATAATCTTCTTCATGAAATAAAATTTGTTTCTCAGGAAAGCGCTCTCTTTGGAGCCAGATCAGAACAAGCAATGCAACCTGGCGATATGCTTGATGCACATGAACAGAATTCCTGAAGCAAAATCTCTGCTTCAAACTGTAAAAGCTTCATCTGGAAGTAAACCAATGGATGATTCATATGCTAAATCTTTTGAGCGTGCTTGTCAGATCCTGGCTGAATTTGAGTCACATTCGAGAGTTAACCCCATGGAACAGAATGAAGATCACCAAAGATCTTTGACATTGCCTTCCACCAGAAATTTGAAACAGGTTGCTGGCTCCCCGAATGGAGATCCATACGTTTCCGGATTCATAGACTCTATAAAGTGCACAGGAAGATTTAATGAAGAGAGAGTGCTGGCAGATGAACAGAATAGAAGATATTATTGGCAAAATCGCTCTGAGATTGGGAAAAACTTTGTATACAATAATGGGAGTTCTCATTGCATATCATCTGAACTGAGTGGTCCACAGTCTTCTCTACAAACTGCAGCTGACAATAGCTGGAAGAGAGGTTCTTATTTTGAAAGCCCAGTTGATAGGCTTGGTTTTGTTAGCAAAATGAAGGAGAATAGGTTTAGTTTCACTGAAACAGGCCCCGCTTCCACACAGAAGAAGCCATTCACTTCCCCAGCACTATTTACACAACCGAGAAGATGCTCCTTGGGGTTTGATAAAGGAGATCAGATTAAGATAAGGTGGGGAGAGGATACAGTTGAGACAAAAAAAGAGAATGCAATCCAAAATCTCTCTGAGGAACTGTTAGGCTTATCTGATGATCATACAAGCTGGAAAAGAAATGTTAAGGAAAATGTTGGCCATAGGAAATCTGCAATGGAAGACAGCAACACATGTCTAAAGTGTCCGACAGAACAGACCGCCTTTATTGACAACGCAGGAGTATTGAATGCTTCCACTGATTGTGACTGGGGTCAATCAGCAGATACTTATGGAAGTAAGTCTCTCGGACAGGACAGAATACTCAAATCTCGTTGCAAGAGTTGGGCAGATATGGTTGAAGAAGAAGAAGGAGAAGAACAGGAATTGTTTACTGCAGACCTTGGCCAAGGTTTCAATAGTTGGAACTATGAAGAAGCATCTAATGATGAAAATTTAAATGCCAACATAGTTCATCAAAATTCTTATCAAAAGTTTCAGCAGGGAATATGTCAAAAACTTGAAGCAATTGATCTTCAAGATGGCATTGGTACCTCTATGAATGCTGTTACGTCAAGGAATCCAACAGCGCGACGCTCATTGTCTTACGAATCTGCGGAGGATGCGAATACAAAGAGGAGAAACAGGTTGCAGGTTTTCCGGGACATTACTCCTACTCTGGATAGTCCATGAGCTTGAATCAAAATATGTCAGCTGTGAATATAATTCAGTAATGTTTGAGTGTTTGAACTGCAGTTGATCTTCAAGATGGCACTGGTACCTCCATGAATGCTGTTTCGTCAAGGAATCCAACAGCATGACGCTCATTGTCTTATGAATCCGCAGAAGCTTTGAACACAAAGAGGAGAAACAGGTTGCAGGATTTCCAGGACATTACTCCTATTCTGGATAGTTCATGAGCTTGAATCAAAATATTTCAGATGTGAATATAATTCGATAATGTGTTTGAACTGCAGTGATCAAAATCAAAGTAATATGTAGTGTTTATTCTTTTTCCTAGATCATTTTTTTTACAGCTTGGTGAGTCACTGTTGCATCAAACATTGTATATTTCTGCCATTCAACTCTGTCCATAGTTTTTTTTTTTTTTTTAAAAAAAGTTGTGATGTATGTTAACCATACAAATTATGCTTCCTGTGTGATTGAAATGTCTTTATTCATTTCTCTTTCAAAGATATTAAACCTAGCCTGTACCAATATCTCAACCATAGTTAAGTGAGTTTGCCAAATGCTAACTTAATTATTTTAAAATAATATTATTTTAATATTTTTTTAAAAGTTAAAATAACATAGTTAAAAAGACCAATTTTTTTTTTTATAATACATGTGAACTATACATTCATTTTTTTTTTAAAGATATTAAACTTAATCCGTCTTAATATCTTAACCACAAGTTAAATGAGTTAGTTTATGTTAACTTAATTATTTTAAAATAATATTTTTTTAAAAGTTAAAATAACATAGTTATAAATTTCTTTTTATTTTTTTGGTTTATTGCATAAAAAAAATTGTTGTAATGTATATTAACTATATAAATTATGCCTTTATTTATTTTTATTTAAAGTTATTAAATCTAATCCGTCTTAATATTTAGATAACAAATAAACTAAATTAACTTAACTTTATTATTTTAAAACAATATTATTTTGATATTTTTATTTTAAAAAGTTTAAATAATATAATATAATTTTTTTAAAATTAAATTAAATTTTAACTAAATTTTAATCGAATTAATTAACTTATGAACTCATCAACTAAATCGATTAAGTTAGCTACTATTCTTTTTTATTTTGAAACCCAATACAAGTTAATTCTCAAATTGTAATCTCATGAATTAATATCCAAAACCGAACTGGTTTAATAACAATGATCTCTTCCTCCCTTTATTATTTCCATGTATCCATGTCAATCATCACATTAAATACAAATTTCTCTCTTTGATGGAAGATTATCCATGCATTTTAGGGCTAAGCATTTTCGGTTCGGTCCGGTTTTGGGTTAAAATAAGTAATTGAACCGAAATTATTTTTTTTCAAGTTTTTGAACCGAACCGAACCGAAAACTGGTTTAAACCGACCATATTCGGTTCGGTCCGGTTTGGTTTTTTTTCCTTCCAAACCAATATAAACCGAAACTTAATGGCGATCGATCCAACTTAGCTACACCATCTCAGTCAAAGAGGAGAGATGCATAGAGAAGGGGAGGGGAGAGATGCAGAGAGAAAGGGAGGGTGAGGGGAGGGATGCATAAAGAAGGAAGTGATGACTGATCTTGTGTGTAGAGAATGCAGCACCATCTCAATCTCCTTCTCCAATCAAGGAGGAGGGATGCATAGAGAAGGGGAGGACGACTGCTTTTATGTGCAGGGAATATAGAGAGCAAAGTTTAAGTTTTAGGTTTAGGGTTAGAAAAAATATGCTATTTATAGTTATTTTTTTAAGGATTGATCTGGTTGAATCAGTTCGGTTTGGTTCAGTTTAATCGGTTTTAGATTTTAGAAACCAAAACCGAACCGAACCAGAATTTTTTTGTGATTTTTTAATCGGTTAACTCAATTTTTTTTTCGGTTCGGTTTTTTCGGTTATTTTTTTTTTCCGGTTTTCTCGGTTTATCGGTTTTTTTGCTCACCCCTAATACATTTTACACCTTATCTAGGCAAACTAATGAATATAAATTGAAAAATAGGTATTATTTTTTTTTTCTTGTAACTTTTTATCTTGGATTCAATCCCACTATAAAAACCTAGTCAGATAGGAGGTAATTTCTGTTTTTTAAATGAAATTTTTTTTTTTTTAATTTCTAAAGATATGATTTGTGTTTAAAAAATATTATATCTTTTAAAAAAATCAGAATACCTCTCAACCAAACTAACTCAAGGGTGACAATTGAGGGCAGCAATAGAAATCCGATAATAAAAGGAAAAAAAAGATATAACTTTGAAGGGCAAATAACATAAATTCAATATTTCAAACTATCAACATGAAATTCTAAGTTCCTACTGAAAAAGTGAAAATAACCCATTTTCTTAATTATTTATTTTTTGAGAAAATCAAACTTTTTTTTTTTAATTTAAAAAAAGAGAATACAAAAACACCTTCTTTTGTTGACTGACTCTAATTTACAGACACTTGAACTTAAAAAGTTAAAGCCCAGCACCACGAACACCACTGCCGCCGCAGCTTTCCAGTAACATTCATAACCCTCTTTCTCACTTAATAGGTAACTCTGTAACAATCTCCTTCATATTTTTCTTTTATAATAATCTTTAACATAAAGCTTATAACTTTATACTAAAATCCTCATTTCTCATTGTGACCTTTACTGTGATTAATCTGATTGATTCAAGGTGATTAATGGACTCCCAGCTTCTATTACTTAACAAGACCAACGCTTTAATCAAACCTCCACTATTCAGTCTCTTTGCTTATTCAAAACCCAGAAACAACCCATCTTCCAATTTCTCTTTAGGTATTTCTTCACTGGAAAAGTTTCAATTTTGCTTGTTTTTTCTCGTTGATGTTATTGTTAATTTGATGAGTTCTTTTTGTCTTTTGTTGTGGTTGAAGGGTGTAAGTTGAAGAGAGTAATGTGTGCAATGAAGTCTTATAGGTTATCAGAACTTAGTAATGCAGAGGTTGAAAGTTTGAAAGCTCGGCCTCGTATTGATTTCTCTTCCATTTTTGGCATTGTAAGTGACCCTGTTTTGTTTTGTTTTGAAAAGGGTGTAATTTTTAAAATTTAAGTTTGTTGTGTTGAAGTCCTGATAAGGTAATTGCTGATAGGTAGTGTTGTTGCTTGTTGTTTTTAGGTTAATCCTATTGTTGATGATGTTCGTCAAAGAGGCGATGATGCAGTTAAAGAGTCCGTCATTCTTTAATTACTATTTTATCTTTATAGTTTTACCATTGTGTTTGTTTTAGTAACGAGGTTAGACCGATGGAGCTGTTTATCTGTTCTTTGTAGTTATACTGCAAAATTTGACAAAGTCAAATTGGACAAGATTGTCGAGAATGTTTCTGAGCTTCCTGATCCGGAGGTGAATTCCAAAAATATATCTTATAATAAAAGAATTTCCTTGCATTTCTAATTTACTATTTGAAGTTGTTTGTATGGTTTGATATTCTTGGTTCCAAATGTAACTTTTGGCTTCTTTTTTTTTTTTGCCTTTTGCTGAATGGCAGCTTGAGGCCGCTGTTAGGGAAGCATTTGATGTGGCATATGACAACATATATGTATTTCATCTTGCTCAAAAGTCCACTGAAAAAAGCGTTGAGAACATGAAAGTATGTCAATTCTAGTGATTGGTTCTAGCTTTTACTGTGTGTTTCCATTGATAGCTAGGCCCAGATTATTTCCAAATATTTCAGGGTGTTAGATGCAAACGTGTGGCTCGGAGCATTGGTTCTGTCGGTCTTTATGTACCAGGGGGAACTGCAGTTTTACCATCCACAGCTCTGATGCTTGCTGTTGTAAGTTGATTGGGTTTTACCAATTATTTTGGCTGGTTCAAGTTCTATCATTTTTATTATGATTGTCATATTCTAGTTAAGTTCATTTGGTTGACATTTTAGTTTGTTTTGTAAACTAGCCTGCACAAATTGCTGGGTGTAAAACTGTTGTCCTTGCAACTCCTCCATCTCAGGATGGCAGCATATGCAAGGTATTTGTTTGTATTTGAAATGCTATACTTTTGCAAAGCATGTTCTTAATGGGAGTGGATTTGTGGTCTTTCATAGGAGGTACTGTACTGTGCCAAGAAGGCTGGTGTCACTCACATCCTTAAAGCTGGTGGAGCTCAGGTTAGAAAACAAACTTATGGCCATATGTTTTGTGCACTGGGCACGTTGTCTTTATTGTATTCAGTTCCTAGTGATCTTACTAATTTTTCATTTCTAGGCTATATCTGCCATGGCTTGGGGGACAGATTCTTGCCCCAAGGTATTTACTCATCAACTCATTGCTCAATTTTTTGTATCTGAAAATCTGATAATAAGAACAAACAATCCTTTTATTGTTCCTCTGTGGAATTTATATTTGTGTTTTGTATTTGCTGTTGTTAACTTGTGGAGTGTGTTGTTTGCTATGGAATTGATGGACAAAAAGTTCATTGTATTTTCCATATCAAATCACTACATTTTTGTTATTTGTTTTTGTGATACGAGAATAACCTGCATATATTGGCTCTTCTCTTTACCTCACTGTATCCTCTCAAATTTATGCTAAAAATGTTTTTGAAAAATTTGCAAAGATTATTATTTAATAATTTCACAAATGAAAAGTTGACTTTCAAACTAGTTTTGTATTAACACAGACATTGCATGCTTAAATATGTAGAAAATTTTTACATACTCTAGAGATGTGTTTTGTTACTAGTTGTAATGTGCTAGCACCTTTCACCTGAAATTTGTAGGTTGAGAAGATTTTTGGGCCAGGAAATCAGTATGTGACAGCTGCAAAAATGATTCTCCAAGTATGGATACTTTCTCTCCAACTGGACTTTATTGAAGCCTATTAGTCTACATAAATATTTTATTTCATCTCTTTCTCTGCATAGGTAGAAAATGCTAATCCTTTTTTCAATTCAACTCAGTTTGTCCTTGCTTTTATTCACATAACAGAACAGTGAAGCAATGATTTCGATTGACATGCCTGCTGGGCCTTCTGAAGTTTTAGTCATTGCTGACAGTTATGCTAGTCCTGTTCATATAGCTGCGGATCTACTGTCCCAGGTGCTTTTTTTTTCCTTTTTTAACCATGTTCATATTCATGTTGTGTTGGTGATGCATGTAGTATTTCATCTTTCATAAAATTCTCCCAAAGTGAGGAAGTTCTAATGTTACAGATACTGATTGAATTAATGGCAGAACAAAGAATTCGATAAACTGATAAATAAAATAAATAAGATTTTACAATGTGTTTATTTATTTCACCTTATAAAGGTTACATGCATGCTCAGTATCAGGGCATTGTACTAAGTATGTGTTTGGTATTGTGGGATAGAGTGTTTTTTAAAAGTGTTTTTTGCTTGAAAATGCATTAAAATGATTTTTTTTTGACATCAGCATATCAAAACCATTAGAAAGCACTAAAAAAAGCATCTTTTTAATATCTTTTCAAGCCAAATGCACTTTTGAAACATAGTTTCAACCGCAAAAACAAACGGACATCATCTTGTTGCATGTTTCTATCTTCAATGTTAAAAATTAAATCAAAATTTCCTTTATGATCCTTTCAAAGGTTCAATTATCATGAATTAGATGTTCATTGCTTTCATATATGCCATAGTTTTATCTTGCCTGATATTTTTATTGAACTCTTTGCATTTTCCAGGCTGAACATGGCCCTGATAGCCAGGTTGTTCTTGTAGTTGCCGGGGATGGTGTGGATATGAAAGTCATTGAAGTGGAAATAAGTAAGCAACGTCAAAGCCTACCAAGGGGTGAATATGCTTCAAAAGCACTTAGCCACAGTTTCACCGTCTTTGCTCATGACATGGTTGAGGTCAGTCTTTTATTTGACTGTTTCTGCCTGGATACTTGTAATGTCAATCCAGAAGTTGCTTGCTTTGCATTATTGGGAATAGGATGGGGGTTAGAATTCTTATGTCTCTAAGGAATTTAACATGTGCTTTTGAATCACAAAAATAAAAATGAATATGGGGTTGCTAATTTTGCAGACTATGCTAATAATGAGCATGAAAAATGTTTTAACAATCTCTCATATACTAGTCCCCAAACTGTATCGATTAGTTGGTTTGGAATTGGTGCCTGCAAGATTTTTTCAGTCACTTTCATTTGGTATACTCTTGAAATCTGTACATTTAACATTATGCTAGTGTTATATTTTATTTTCCGAAGCTAACATGATTATTGGGTTTCTTAAGGCTGTCTCCTTTTCAAACTTGTATGCTCCTGAGCATTTAATCATTAATGTAAAAGATGCGGAGAAGTGGGAGAACTTTATTGAGAATGCAGGTATGCTCTTTTAATACTATAGCCTTTTTTCTAACATCTTTGGTGCTATTCTCGAGTTTCTACCTTCGAAGGCAAGTGAATTCTCTCAATTGTATTTTCTTAGAGAAAATACATAGCAGATTTAAGCCTTGGATGATTTTCTCTGCAGGTTCTGTGTTCTTGGGCCCGTGGACACCAGAGAGTGTTGGGGATTATGCCAGTGGGACAAACCATGTCCTTCCAACATATGGATATGCACGGATGTATGGTGGGGTATCCTTGGATTCTTTCCAGAAATACATGACAGTGCAGTCTTTGACAGAGGAAGGTCTCATGAAGCTTGGTCCATATGTGGCAACCATGGCTGAAGTTGAAGGGCTGGACGCCCACAAGAGAGCTGTAACTCTTAGACTTCAGGATATTGAAGCCAGACAGGTTTCTAATACGAGATAGTGTTTTAATTAGGCAACCACATATATATTCATTTTTTTTTTGGGATGACATTTTTACCATGCTTGAGTTTACCGAAATTTCAAGTTGTATCTCTATAAAGTTTTGGCTTGTAACGTTACCTTTCCCATTAAGTCATAAATGAATCTCTCATTTGCTTCATGTCTCTGAATTCATCATTTAAATTGTATGGTAGCATCAAGTTGAGGATTATTTGGTTATTGTCGCCGGATAGAAAAAAAAAAGATGGTAGTTGAAATAGAAAGGTCATGTCTATATTAAAAAAAAAAACAAGAACTCACTTTAATTGAAATTATTTAGAGATATTTATTTTTTGGACTTCATTTTGTCCCTTTAATTAAACATGTTTTTGTTTATTTTATAATGAGAAACTTCATTGTTTTCTTTTATTTTATCATGAGAAACTTCATGCTGCCATCCCATGTGCTCATCCACCTCAAAATGACACAGGAAAAAAGATAAAAGGAAGGAAAAATAGACTTCTAAATTTATGCCTAACAAAACAGGTTACATCTAGAAGCGAAGAGTAGTCATCATATATTTGCTCTGTCAAGCCTTTCTCTCACCCTCCACATGCCACCACTCCCCAAAAATTATGAGTTCAGTGTCCTCGTCAACATGGGCAATCATTATATCTGGTTCTGACGTAATGTGGTTTTTAATCTCCCATCACCAAAAGCCCTCGTCATTGCTAACTGCCCGTCCATGAGCGGCACATTGCCTGAGCCAACCACAGATCAAGAGCTCACAAAAAGATAAAAGAGTCCCCACTCTTGCACACCTCAGAAGAAAAAAGAATTGCATGCACCTGGCGCTGTAGACACAAAATCCGCCCTTGCTCTCGGCAAGTTCTTTGTCCTTCTGGGGATCATGATCTACTGAAATTTGTTTTGCCACATCATTTCTACATAAGATGGCTCGAGAATCACCAACATTGGCCACAATTAATGAACTTCTCTTTACCAAATAGTATTTCTACATAACTTCTCTATAACTAGTATTGATCCTTGAGAACCGTCTGCTCTATCTAAAATCTCATTATTATTTTTATATTTTATTATCTCTTATTTGAATCCAAATGGAGATGATTGAGAGTGATTTATCCCTTCTGAATTGAATTATACATCCACACACCAATGAAATGTCTAAGATCTCATTGGAATTATAAATTAAGCCAGATTAACCAGTTGGATTTGGCTGATTCTCTGTATATAGTTAAATTAGCCACGTGTAGGAGGGACTCAAAAAACTTGGTAATTGATCATCCATGAAAGAGACTTGTAAAATGAAGTCACATCAAGTGGCTAATAAAAAAAAGGATATCAGTGAAAAGAAACAGGGATTTAAGACAGAAAAAGAATGATTTAATACATGAATTCAAGAACAAAACACCTTTTAATACATGGAATACAAATCCACTCAAGCTATCATGCAATGAAGCACAAGCACTCCACTGCATGCACACAAAGATAGTACAAAACCAATGAAATACAAAGAACTTGATGGCCTAACCAACTTGTCTTTCTTCTCCCACCATTTCCCATTTCTTGTCTAGAACTTTGACTGCAGGGAATTGACAACATTCTTGTGCAACTGGAAAGCCTTGGCAAGAATGTCACTAGGAATGTCTGGATTGGACCCAAACACAGCATTCGCAATGGTGATAACACCGGGGTTTTGGCTGCTCAAGGCAGCTAAGGCAACAGCATTTCTCGTTCCCACATTTTTTTGAAAGTGAACAAGATTGACAGGGAACACAAACACATCACCCTTTTGTAAGACCTTGGTAATGAGACGGTTTTCAGGGTTAGATGTAACAAATCCAACTTCAAGACTACCTTCAAGAACTGTCAATATTTCAGAGGCACGAGGGTGCGTGTGTGGAGGGTTAATACCAGATGGTGCATAGTCAATGCGCGCAAACGAGATACCAAGTGTGTTAAGTCCTGGTATTTGGGCTACATTCACTGCAGTTACCCTCGACCCCACTGCATTTGATGTGTTGCCTAGCATGTGAAGTCCACTGAAAGAGAAGTCACTAGCTTGAACACTCTTGGGGTCCTTGCAAGCCAAGCCATTGACAAGAACTGCCATAAAATAATTAAATTGTGTTATTTTATTTTATGAAAAAATCAACAAAAACATTGAGCTTAACAAATTACATGATGCATACCATTGCCATCTCCACCTGCCACACAGAAGTCTTGAATCGGGCTCGGATCTGATGCCAAGGCAAAGGAGAAGGACCAAGCTAGAAATCCAAAGAAAATAATGGAAGGAGCCATTGGGAAATCAAAGGTATGGAAGCTCTGTGAAACAATTAATTGCTTGTGTACCAAGAAAATAATATTAATCGAGCTTTTAGTTGTGAATCAAATACCTTTAATACTTCCTATATATATACATTTGAGAGCTAGAGGAGATCATTAACTAATTAATCAGCTAAATCAAGCTGTAAACCATAACTCGTTGCCGTCCTGTTGGAAGAATCTTATTGCTTACTAGTCCTCTCTTTCTTCTATCTCGTTCATACATACAGGCCATAATTAATAATCTGGGGATCTTTCAGTACATGCCGGCCTTAATTTATCAAGGGCACAAAATAGTTAAGGTAAGATTTGGTCATGGACTGTTTAAGCTAAATAGTTCAATGGAAAGACGGTATGTAATTCTTATTAATTAATTGTAGCCTTACATGTCATTTCATATGCTGCTAAGTGTCAAGTACGAAGAGGCTTCCTCACTATATTGTCTTAAAATTGAGGTGGTATGATTTAACTTTGTGAACTTGTATCAGTAAAACTTTGATATAATGTAAAAATATCATTTTAATTTAAAAATTAGTATTAATTTATATAAGTTTCAAAATTAAAATATTTTCACTTACAGAGAAGCATTATCATTACATATATTAATTTATAAAAAAATCAATTTTATTCAATAACTTAAACTGTTAAGTGAGATCTTAAGATATGATTTATATAATTTTCTAACACACTCCTTTAAAAAAAAATCATTTAAGTTTGAAACTTGTACAAATTTATATTATAATGTGTTTAATTTTTATAAAATAAAATTGGAGTAGTGAGATAACTGTTTGGTCAACAAAATTTTAATATCTTATCATAAAACTAATTCAACTCAATAACTTAGCTATTAAATTAGATTTTAAAATATAATTTATATAATTATCTAATAGAATTATATTTTAAAACTTTACTTACATAATAGTTACATAATAGTCACAGAAGCAATAACCATACAAGTAATACATGCTACAACACTGTTATTGAGCAGAAAAACTAACCAGCCTCACTAGACAAAAGAACATAAGTCCACCTACTTAAATTTGCAAATCAGTTTCACAAGCCAGTACATGACCCTAATGACTTGAATTTTGTATAATCCCATCAGAATAGTTTTATAAGTGATTATAGTCCCTATCTTTAATTTATTTATTTATTTTTTTATTTCCCATATCTATGGTTTCATAATAAATGGTTTTTGCAATCTTTTTTCTTGATTATTGTTAAAAAATAATATAAATTTTATTTTCAAATATCACCTAACAATTTAAGTTTTGGGGTTAAATTAGTTCTTTAACATAATATCAAAGTTTTGACAACCAAGTGATTACGAGTTCAAATCTTACCATTTTATTTATTTAAAAAAAAAATAAACAATGCATGATCTCATTAAAGGAAAAAAAATTTGTCTCAAAATATTTGCTCAAGCAAAAATATTAGGTGCGTAACATCATTCCAAATTCCTTCAAGCTCTTGCTTGGTACTGACCTTTTGGGTGTGACCTTTCTTCGTTTTCCATCCTTTTCTTTAATAGAGTGTTGTGGATTCTAAAAAAAAAAAATCTATGTTT